TTTTGAAGCACAGCGCCTTTTTGAGAAGGTCTTAATTTTACTTATTCTTGTCACTTGAATTCATTCAATTTTTTTATCATTTGTAAATCTCCATACGAACAAGAGGCATCAAAAGCAGGGATCAGAAGACCGTTCACACATTATGGCAAAACTTCTTGAATAGCTACTAAATCGTAGATGCTCTTCTTTTACCTTAACATTTAAATTCAACAATAACACAGAACAATTCGTTAGAATTAAACATGATATCAGCTTCTTCCAACTTAGTCGGTTAATTAAACACCATTGAACATTCAGGAAGAACACGTAAATATTTCAGGTAATACTACATCATAAATTCCATCACCGATGAAACGAGTGAGTCGTTCTCTCCCATAATATTTTCCTCAATGTTTCGACTCTGTGAAGTGAAAGTTTACGAAGAAAAAAACCACATTTTTTTCATATAGACACTTACCGAATTATATCTTCATGACAGTCAAATCGAAGATGTTACAGCACAGCGTATAGCAGATGCGTTACGAAATAATGAAGTGACTATCAATCTCTTCTTCATCTATTTCATTATCGATCTGCACTATTTCATACAGACACTTACCGAATTATATCTCTGCAGCAATCAAATCGGAGATGTTGGAGCACAGCATTTAGCCGATGCTTTACAAAATAATACGGTAATTATCATTCAGTTTTTTCTATACCGCATATACTCATCTCCATTTTTTCATACAGACACTGACCACATTGAACCTCTGGTGCAATCGAATCGAAGATGTTGGAACACAGTACCTAGCAAATGCATTACGAAATAATAAGGTAACTATCATTCACTTTCTCATAGATCCACCTGCACTATTTCGTGCAGACACTTACCACGTTAAATATCGGCGGCAATTCCATCGGAGATGTCGGAGCACAGTATCTAGCAGATGCATTACGGAACAATAGGGTAACTGTCATTTTCTTCTTCATCTATTTCATATATCCATCTGTACTGTCTCATGTAGACACTTACTACATTAAATCTCGACCACAGTCAAATCGGAGACGTCGGAGCACAGCATCTAGCAGATGGACTGCGAAATAATACAGTAACTAATATTCTCTTCTTTATCTATTTTATATATCCATCTATACTTTTTTAAATAGACACTTATCAAATTAAGTCTCTTCGCCAATCGAATTCAAGTTGCTGGTGTACAGTATTTAACAGATGCAATACAACATAACACGGTAACTATTATTCTCCTCCTCACCTATGTCATTTATCCATCTCTACCTTTTCTTACAGACACTTACTACATTAAATCTTAGATGGAATCATATGGGAGATGTCGGAGCACAGCATCTAGCAGATGCATTACGAAATAATACAGTAACTATCACTGTTTACATCAGTATTTCATATATCTACATGCACTTTCTAATGCAGACACTTATCGCATTAGATCTCGAAAGCAACCTGATCGGAGCTGCTGGAGCACAGTATCTAGCAGATGGGTTACAAAATAACACGGTGATTATTATTCTCTTTCTCATCTACTTCATATATCCATCTGCACTTTTTAATACAGACACTTACTACATTGAGTCTTAACCAGAATCTAATCGAAGATATTGGAGCACAGTATCTAGCAGATGCATTACGAAATAATATGGTAAATATCATTGTTTTCCTCATCATCTGAAATATCTGCATGCATTTTATTATGCAGACACTTATCAAATTAAGTCTCTACAACACTCGAATTGGATCTGTAGGTGTACAGTATCTAATGGATGCATTGCAAAATAATACGGTAGTTTATTTTCCTCTTCTTTGTCTGTATTAGATATTCATCTGCACTTCCTCTTGCAGACACTTACCACATTGAATCTTGGTAGCAATCAAATCGGAGCTATTGGAGCAAAGCATCTAGCAGATAGATTACGAGATACTACGGTAATTATCACTCGCTTTCTTATCGATCTCGTATGTCTACATGCTATTTTTTTTTATACAGACACTGACTACATTAAATCTCTCATGCAATAAAATCGGAGTTGTTGGAGCACAGTATCTGGCACATGGATTACGAATTAATAAGGCAACTATCACTATCTTCATTAGGATTTCATATATCTACATGCCCTTTCTCATTCAGACACTTACCGCATTAAATCTCGAGAGCAATGCAATTGGACCTATTGGAGCACAGCACCTAACACATGGGTTACGGCATCATACGGTAACTATCATTGTCTTCATCGCCTATCTTATAGATTCGTTTTTGATACAGACACTTACCGAATTAGATCTCGGAAATAATAAAATCAAAGATGCTGGAGCACAGCATATAGCAGATGCATTACGAAATAACATGGTAACTATCATTGTTTCCCTCATTGTTTTACATATCTACATGTACTCTCTCATAAAGACACTGACCGCATTAAATCTCAAGAGCAATCAAATAGGAGATGTTGGAGCCCAGCATATAGCAGATGCATTACGAAATAATCAGGTAACTATCACTGTTTCCATCAACATTTCGTATATTTTCGTACAGACACTGGCCACGTTAGATCTCCAGAGCAATCACATCGGAGCTATTGGAGTACAATATTTAGCAGATGGATTACGAATTAATATGGTAACTATTACTGTTCCCATCGGTATTTTATACATCTACATCTACTTTCTCATGCAGACACTTACCACATTAAATATCGGCGCCAATTCCATCGAAGATGTCGGAGCACAATATCTAGCAGATGTGCTACGAGATAATAAAGTTATTATCATTCTCTTTCTCATTTATTTCATATATTCATCTGCACTCTTTTATACAGACACTTACAGAATTAGATCTCAACCAGAATCAAATCGGAGATGTTGGTGCTCAGTGTTTAGCAGATGCATTAAAAAATAATACGGTAACTATCATTGTCTTCATCGCCTATCTTATAGATTCGTTTTTGATGCAGACACTTTCCGAATTAGATCTTGAAAACAATGAAATCGAAGATGTCGGAGCACAGTATATAGTAGACGGGTTACAGAATAATATGGTAAGTATTATTCTTTTCCTCGTCTGTATCATATATGCATCTCCACTTTTTCATGCAGACACTTACGATATTAAATCTCTATCGGAATAAGATCGGAGACGAACTCAAGAGCAAAATCGACGAGTTGATTGAACTGAACAGCAGAGTAGTAAAACATTAACTGTTGATGTCGAGAATATAATGAGCAAGACTAGAAAAAGCGTTGATGAATATCTCGATAAGTTTCTTTTTTGAGTGTTGACGTGATAAAATGTAAATCGAATTGTTTTATTTTATGTGTGATTTGTATTGTAATGATATAAATTGTTATACTATAATAAATAATTACATATCTCAATTCAAAATTCGGCTCCATACAAGAATGCAGAATTTGCCCTTCACTACCAGAGTTAAACAAATGCTTTATTTTAAAATATTTTTTTAAAAGAAATGAAGGTGTTGGTATGGGTGAAAGAGAAGATAGAAACACCCACACCTGCGTCTGTGAGTATGAATATTATATAGTTTTTTTATCCACACCCACACCCACCCTCATGATTTTAAATGAATCAAAGGTTAAATAGAAGAAACTTAAACTAAATATTAAGTTTCAAGTTAAATAAAAGAGGCCAACCTATTAGGAACCATCGACAACGAAAAATTCACTTTTTTCCTCTTGACCTACATTTACTGCAAACTACACGTATACGAATTTGTTTTCGGATATCTAAGTTTCATGAGAACTAAGATCCAACGATGGACATCTTTTTCCATCAGTGCAAGCTTTCTAGAGCGAGATTTTGAGAGCGAATGTTTGTTTTTTTGTTGTTTTACTTTGAATCAACGTCAATGGAAACGGTAGCAACTCAGTTTAAATTGAAAGAGAAAGAAAATGTCGATTGACATCATTTCTCGAGAAAGAAAAACAAAGTATTTGTCGTCAACCAGAAAGAAATGAAATTCTTTGCTGTCCTGCAAACAAAAACTATAACTCAATCTTGTGTTGACAACGACATCAACACACGCTTACACGAGTTTGTTATAAACAGTAAAAGTTTTGCTCTATTTTTCTTTCAAATAAGATCGAGATTACAGAATAAAACTGGAACAAACATTAATTTGATTTCAAATAGCAATTACAATATTCCTCTGTGCGCAATTATATTCACTATTTTGTCCATAGTAATAAAGTATAAATGAAAAAGGTAATAAATTCAACATTTATTTCGATTGACTATTTTTTTTGAGTTCTGTTTATGTAAATAATACGCAGTGCGCAGTAGGATCGGCTATAGTTCTTTATTTTTAAACGAGATGTCTAATGAATAGAATAACCTAAATAATCATAAATTTAGGGTATTTATCAGAGGTTTTCTGCTGTCCACAGTGTAATGCACGTGTCCATTTGTTACTCTCATTCGTTCTGAAAATTTATCTTCTCTTTGTAGAAAAGAACATTTCTATTTTTCTAAATTTTAAAGATTTTCTCAGGTATTTTTTCTAGATATTTTGTTTCTAGCAATCGTTTGCCATTCGTCTGCAACCTGGAGAACTGAATATCGCAGTCTAGAAAAATCATTTGATTTTTTGGCACGTTACAAAATTCTGTTTCTTGAAGACGTTGAAATATCAGGAAGCATTTTTTAACTTTTAAAAAATCCTCGGTAATTTTATGGTAGATTGTCTTTGAAATCGAAATGGGAAACTCGCAGTGCATGAAGAGTCGTGTAAATCCATCCGTTACCGAAATAACGTCGAAGCCAACTGCATCCAGCTATCACAAACCAGAATCGGGACCACTCAGTTCGACGCCTAACGGTAAGATCAGTGTGTATAATTATACTACTATGAAGGCTAGATAAATTAGACTTGAAAAAGCTTAAATTTCCAATCTTTAAAATGAGTATGAAGAAGGCTTGTTATAGTGTGCGTTAAAAAACTATTGTGTATTTCCTCGCTTTTACTAAAGAACTTTTATAATTGATTAGATTATGATTCTTAGAAACTGTTTGAAAATTCTTAAGATAATTTCAGACTATTATCTTCGCATTTAGCCATTGCTCATCCTCCAAAATATCGCAACCCTACACTTGAAGAATGCATTGCTACCGAACAAAATGAATCGTTGTCCTTGAGACAACGAAACTTAACTGATCAAGACTTCGAAATTGTGGCTTATTACGCAATACAAAATAATAAGGTAAAATAAGTTGTATTAATTCCTGCGTTTGAAAGTAAATGGAGGGAGAGTTGCTTTTATTTTTCATTCTTTATTCTAAAATGAAAATGTCTCACTATGAAGATTATGTGATAATATGAATAATAAACTATAGTTTTAAATTTATGATCGAACTCTTTTGATGTGTCTCTATAAAACTGATCGAAAATCATATGAGAAAAGCATACACGAGACAAAAACTAATTACTTGCTGCTCTCGTTGATATAAATTATGAATATCGATCTGTTGTTAAAAAACAATTGTCGAATATGATGGGCTTGATAGCTAACTTTAAAAAAGTCTTATTCCATGTCACTATGCCAGTTGCATTGTATAGTTAAGTGCAGAAATTCGTTCCACAATAAATTTCGATATTGTATTAGCTCAATAAATACGGAATCGAAAGCAACCGTTATTGTTTATTTCAAACATATACTTCACTGTCCGTGATAAAAAAAATAAAACTATCAAAGGCAATCGATTTGAGCATAGATTGAATCGACGGGAGGGTGAGACTCTGACCATGAAAAACGTGGACGCAAGCGCATTCGTCCTCCTTCCGTTTGGTTTTTAAAGTATAGAATATGTCAGCAGCCACCACACACAAAATTTTGAGTCCTAAAGATCAAGTCGACAAGAAAGCGGCACAGTATCCTGTCGATGCACTTCGAAATAATATGATGATCTATATCATCCTCATTTCATACAGAGATTCACTCAACTGTATCTCGGACAAAATCAACCCGGTGACAAAGGAACACAACATATTGCTAATGCTCTTCGAAATAATACGGTAACACACAGCATAGTTTCTATTCATCGATTATCCATTTTCATTACTTCGTATAGACAATCACTATACTATATCTCGATCAAAATCAAACTAAAATAGGCGACAAAGGAGCACAATACCTTGCTGATGGTCTTCGACATAATACGGTAATATACATCACCTTCGGTGTTCATTGAATATCCCTCTCTTTCATATCACACAGGCACTCCAAATGTTGAGTCTCTATGACAACCAAATCGGCGATAAAGGGGCACAATATCTTGCTGATGCTCTTCGAAGTAACGCGGTAATACACCCTATTCACTTTCTTCGTCAAACATCCCTCTTTCACATTTCATACAGACACTTAAAGAACTGTATCTCTCTCAAAATAAAGTCAATAACAAAGGAGCACAACATCTCGCTGATGCTCTTCGAAGTAACACGGTAAAACATATTGTTCACTCTCTTTGTCGAATATCCCTCTTCCGTATTTCATACAGACACTCACTCTTATGTCTCTTGGACAAAATCAAATCGGTGAAAAAGGAGCACAATATCTCAGTGATGCTCTTCGAAGTAACACGGTAACACACACTGTTCTCTCTTCCATCATCGAATGTTATTCTCACTCATTTCACACAGACACTCAACGACCTGTATTTCTCTCAAAATCAAATTGGCGACAAGGGCGCACAACATATATCAGATGTTCTTCGAAACAATACAGTAATAAATATCACCATCTCTCCTCATTAAAAATCTCTCTTTTCCATTTCAAATAGGCACTCACTATACTGTATCTTGATCAAAACCAAATCGGCAACGACGGGGCACAGTCTCTTGCTGATGCTCTTCGAAATAATAAGGTAATACATACTGCTCTCTCTCTCTTTCTTTTCTTCATCGAGTATCTCTCTTACTCATTTCACACAGACACTCCGAGAGCTGCATCTCTCTGGAAACAAAATCAGCGCTAAAGGAGCACAACACTTAGCTGATGCTGTTCGAAATAATATGGTAACAAATACTATTCTCTTTTTTCTAGTGGCGGACTCAGAATTTCCGAGTACGCTGGGTCTCATACTATGAAGTTGAGATCCAGCATACTCAAAAACCTTACATCCATCATTACTCTTTTTCCTTCATCGAATATCTCTCTTATTAATTTTGCACAGATACTCACTCAAATGTGGCTCAATGAAAATAAAATCGACGACAAAGGAGCAGAATATCTCATGGATGGCCTTCGTAATAACACGGTGACACGCCCAATCCATTCTGTTTCCTTCATCAAATATTCTTTTTCTTCATTTCTTACAGACACTCACTCTTCTATCGGTTCATGAAAATCCTATCAGCGACGAAAAACATGAACAATTGCGGAAACAAGACGATCGTCTGAAGTTTTGATCAGTTTATTTTTGTTTTATTTAAAATAAATAAAATCACCTAACATTGAAAAAATTGTATAATTAAGCAGTAAAATATTAATACACGCATGCTCTGATTTGACTGAATTAGAATGATTATGTTGAGATGTACTGCAATTTAATAGACAGATATTAATCAATGCTCGTCCGATACGATTTTTCTCAATATCTAAAATAATCGATGTGCACATATTTCGGCTCTCAAAGTAATACGTATCAACATGAAGGATCATGTATCCGACGATACATTTGAAGAAAATTTCCGCTGATCAAAAATTAATCTCGTTGACACAACAGAAGGAAAAATAGGACGGATACGAAAAGGATATAAGAACAGTTACTCCGGTACGCATTTCATTCTTACGACAATCGTAAAACGATAGTATTCAGGTAGGAAATAAATTATTTTCAGTGCACTATATTATGATTATATGTCACCATGTGGTTTTCGGGTCTGATAAACTGAGGGCGCGGATGTGGTGTGTATTCTTCACTCCCATCCACACTCACTTATCCTTATCTTTTATTCCTGTTTGAAATAAGATTTTCTCATGATTTTTGTAGCAGTTCTTTCTTTCTTTTCTTATTATTTTTTGACTAGTGCTCTCTCTCCGAAAAACATGTCTTTATTTTTAAGAAATCAATGTCACTTTTCTGGTTTATTTTGAATAATATTATAATTCCTTTTCCAAAAGAGCAATATATTGTCGTAGATCCTTCATCACCGAATGATTTTCTGGTAATGACAGTTCGGCGATTTTCAATCCGTGTTCAAAATACGATAGTGAAGTCCGATACTTTCCAATTACGTAATGTAGTTCACCAAGATTCATGTAGGTAGCAATAAAACTAGGATGGTTAGGTGGCAAAGATATTTTTTGAATTTGAAGCGCTTTTTCATAGAATGATAGTGCATTGGAGAATTCTTCTGTATTCCGATAGACATTGCCAATTCTATTATATGTGAGAGCAATGTCAGGATGATCAGAATGGAGAGATGCTTGCTGAATTCCAAGTGCTTTTTGATAAAACCAAATTGCATCAGAAAAGCTTCCCATGTAAATCTTTATATCTCCAATGTTGATGTAGGTAATAGATAGCTCAGGATGGGTTGAATGTAAAACTTTTTCGTTGATTTTGAGAGCCTTTTCATAAAACAAGAGCGCTTTGTCAAATAGCTTCATATGTTGATAAACGACGCCAATATTGTCATAGGTTGCGGCGAGGTTAGGATCATCAGGACTTAAAATAAGTTCATTGATTTGAATAGCTTTTTGAAAGAATGAGAGCGCAACCGAATAATTTTCCATGAGTTTATGAAGTAATCCAATATTATTATAATTGATTGCAAGATCAAGATGATTGGAAGGTAATACTTGTTCGTTGATCTGTAAAGCTTTTTGATGGTATGAAAGTGCAGCTGAATAGTTTCCTAATTTAGAATTCAAAAGGCCCATATTGTCGTAAGTGATCGCCAAGTCTGGATGGTTAGAAGGAAGAGTTTCTTCTTGAATTTCAAGCACTTTTTGATAGTACGAGAGTGCATATTGTAATTTTCCCATTTTGCTATTTGTAACTGCAATACTGTTATATAATGAAGCAAGTTCGGAGTGATCTGGTGGTAAAATTTTCTTTTGGATTTCAAGTCCTTGTTCAAAGAAAAACTCAGCCTCATTATAACTACCATTCTTAAATTTTATAGTACCCAGATTATTATAAAGAAGAATAATTTCTTTCTCATTGCTTTTATCAACCGATTCGAGTAGGACTTTGTACAATTCTTCAGCGCGTCTTAGTTCTTGCATTGCCAGCATCATTTGACCTAACTGGTTCCAACCTTTTTCTTTTGACATTTTTAAATTCAGTTTTTCAGTAAGAAATTCCATGAGAGAATCTTTATCAGCACTCTTTCCCGTCAATTGTACTTGCCAAATATTTCTTTCAGTTTTTACCATGTTGCTGATGCGGAAAATACTAGTCAAGCTAAATAATACATGATTATTTACATTGGTATCATAGCTTAACTGATTCAATAAGACAAACGGTGTAAATGGAGAAGTTACGGGTTCGATATAGATTTGAAAGAGAATAGGCAATGTTCCGGTATTTTGTTCGACGTTAGAGCATACCCTGTTTGCCAATTCTGGCTCAGTACTGGTTAAGAAAAAGCTATTGAATGATATATAACCATCATTGTTTTGTTGTAGCTTATCAAAATCACTAGTGTTTAATTCTAAACATCGATAAACAGTAAATGGTTCCAGAGACATTGCTTGTTCTGCATGCAGATCTGCTATTTGTTGACAAAGGTCGCGCAAAAATAAACCCATTTTGATTAAAACTTTCATGTCCATAGTTCGAAGAGCTTGATTCATTATTGGAGATAGGAAACATTCTTTTGTATACCACCAGATAGGTGAATGCTTATTATAGTCTTCTTCAAACTCGTTGACCATTTTCAGCATGGTTTGGTTGTTTGTGTAGTGTTTACGTAATAATTCAATCATGTCTTCTTTGACGTGTTCGACATCCGATACAACCGACCTGAGAATTTGTAAATATTTGAGAAAAGGTTTGACTCCATCTTGCTTGTTTTCTAAAAGTTTCTTTTGGGAGCCGGTGCTAACTGTAATTGATTCTTCGCCATACACACTCGTTTCACGACAGAATGGATCATAAGTAGGTTCGATCTAGGAAGAAAACCTGATTAACTATTGTTTCATATCCATAAAAAGGAGAACACACAATGAGTACATGCAACTATCGCTTTATGTAGATAATTCGCTTGGAAAAAGTTTTCTAGGGAAGTCTGAGGCAAAAATCCTAATGAATAACTATGGTTTAGTGAATGATGGTGTCGCAAGGTACATTAGCTTTATTATTAAGGACATCGGTGAGTATGTATATTATTGGTTGAATAGATGAAGAAATAAATTACGCAGTCAGATATACTCAGATTCTGAAAGACACTGGTACGTACATCTACATTCTTACTTTTCCTTATGGGGGTATTTGATATGAATATCGATTTGGATTATAGAATAGTATTTTATACAAAAAGAATAAAGCATGAAGTCGAGGATCAAGTCAATTATAAAGAAGAGCGTTACTTGTTGCAAAGCATCTGTCCAAATTATCCTATCGATCAAGAGTATAGTTATACTTACTTCATTACTTATCTTCTCGGAAAGAAAACTTTCAGTTAATTCGGCATGGGTTAATGCACTAATTGTATTAATAATCAACGCAAACATGATAACATTATTGACAACACCACTTGATGATGAGTCTTTTGTAGATCCAACATTAAGGTTCAATATTCTAACTTTCATATTCATCTTTTATTTATTCAAATAGTATGCATATCGATGATACTTTTAAATGTATATGCAATATATACCTAAGATTGATTAGTGCTGTTATCAGGATTTTTTTATTACTTAGCTTAATATACTCTAATGTGTTTTGCAACATTCTTTTTTCCTTTTTATTTTATGACGCGCTTTCTTTTAAGCGATAAATTTATCTTGATACTTATGTTCCGATTCGTAATAAAAGACAACAACAACAACTCACTTTCCAACATTACAGAGTATATTAATGTTGGAAGAAACGAAGCACTTAGGAATTGGCCATTACATTTCATTTTTACTAACGATAATAAAATATAAAAGGTTATATATCAAGAAAAGTCAAACTCAACACTGAATCATCCATTATTCTTTCGCCAGTAGAAAGTGTGCATTTCGCATCGCATGAAATATTCGCGGAAGGGTGGGTGTGGGTGCATTCTTCATTCGCGTCCAAACTCACACCCTCAAATAAATTAACATGCTGTATATATATATCAAGTATACTATAATCTAGATTTCAATCTTGTTTAAAATTCATTATTAGATGATTTTTTATTCTGCTATAGTTATTTAAATGATTACAATAAAGAATTAGAAGTAAACTATAATAATCTATACGTATGTTGTTGACTACCGAGCATTTAAGATATTCTTCACTTATACCTACACCTTCATATCTAAATCAACGTCAATAACTGATAGAGAAATAATTTCATCTGATAATAAACTGTTTTCATTGTGACGTCATAAGGTTTACACAAAAAAACAATAGACATTTATTTTTAGTTTTTGATAATTATTGTTCATTACATGTTAATTTATGTTGTGCTTCGACGACAACATTTGGTAATACTTGTTCTGAGAGTAATTGTACTGTTTGTTTTCCATCTGTTGATGACATACATGCTGAAATGATATCAGCTGGTGAATGAGCATTATCACACAATTGAGATACATCAACAAGATTTGTTTTATCAAAGAAAAATTCTATAATTTCTTTGCTAATAGATTTCGTACATTTTTTAAATTCTAGTTTAATACCAATACGACCAGGTCGGAGAAGTGCAGGATCGATTTGTTCAGGATGATTACTAGTCATAATTAGAATACGTGAAGGTTGCTCAATAATTCCATCAATTAGATTGAGAAGAAAGGACAATGTTAATGGATCCTTGGGAGCCGTTTGATCCTCACCTGTAGGATAAATTAATGAAAATATTATATACAATTTACAAACCATATATATATATTCAACTAACCTAATAAACTACGCAATGATTGTTTGGACATTTTCTTTTTTCCTGCATTGATATCATCTTGTTCGAGATGAATAACAACATCATCACCTTCAGTTGATGTTACTGGTTCCGATGTTGTTGAAGATGTGGATCATTTTTTAATCAGATGCGACACTAATAAAGAAAGATTAATTATAATTTATTTTTCAATTATCGATTCTAATAGCTTACTGCAGTCGATATCTTCAAAGACGATGATTTTATTACTAAAGTCCAAATTAGTCATATCATATGAATTTAAAAAAAAAGCTTGTTCAAGTTCATCACATGTACGAATACGTGAAAGTGGAATTTCAACAAGATGACGTTTAGTATAAGAAGCGAGTGCTTTGATTGTCGATGTTTTTCCACATCCTATATAAATATGTGATTTAATAGAGTAAAGAAAAGGGAGTTTTGTTTTCTCAGTTAAAGTTCAACTTACCAGGTGATCCATAGAATAAAAGACCAAATGAATGAGAAATACCTCGTTGTTCATAAAAGTTTGGATTATTAAGAAAAAAATTAACACGATCGATCAGCATTTGTTTCCCGTCAAAGAAGAGATTATCGAACGATTTCGTTGTAGTAAAAAGATGTTTTTTGAAATTAATACAAACTTTTGCATTTGGTGAACCAAACATTGGCATCAATGTAAAATGATAGAAATTTCCTACAAAAAAAAAAAGAAAAATACAGTCGATATCAAACGATGATATTCATGACAAATTTAATTGAACCTTTATTTTTCTCTTTAATATAATCTCGATATGCCACTGTCCATTCGGTTATTATTCCTTTTAATTGCTTGAATGTTAATTTGTATGAATAAAGTGTAATTTTGTAATGAAGTAAGCCAATATTTCGATGTGCGAAGAAAGAATCTTTTGAATCTGGGTTTGTTGCTTTTTCAATGTGAAGATAAATATTTGACGCAATGAGAAGATCTTGTTTGCCTGTCGATGTGATGAAATAATTGACCAATTCGTCTAGAGGATCAGGATTTGTTGTTTTGGATTTATTAGTAGAAGTAGGAATAGATTTAGCTGAACATATATTTATATCTGCTACATGAAGATGATGAAGAATACCTAAATATTCTTCAGGAACCTATTAAAGATTATTCTTTTGGTTGTTTTAGACAAAAAAAAATCGTTTTTTTCTTATTACTTGCAATCGAGTATCGAGAAGACCATTGGGATTAGCAATAATATTTATTGAATATCTCGCTTTGAACCGTCGCCAAGTGATAGATGAGATGAGCAATTGTAATTTATCTATTGCAGAAGCACAAAATTTGTTAATGCACGTTAGACAGAAAACAGTTATCATAATAAGTAGACAATCATGCCAAATGTTGCCTGTCTTGATACTTGTAATAATTGGTTGCATAACATAATATGAGATATCCACCATTGCTGGAAAATTCTTCTTTTTTTTGAATAATGCATCGTAATCGATGTCTTTTTATAGTATAACGAGGATATATTTGACCTTATTTCCAAAAAATAGCATCTGTCAATCGGTCACCATATAC